TAATTAAAAGGGAGTTTACATTCCTCGGTTGGAAGCACAAAACTAAAATTTTTTTCAAGGGTAAAAAACTTTTTTCTCAGATTTCGCAGTTTTGATTATATCTGGGTCATACATATTCTAAGGTATAGGACAATATATAATAAATATGAACACGAATCTCCTTCTCTCCAACATAAAAATTCACTTAATCCTGAGACACCTTGTAATTAAAAAAAATTAAAAATGCACATGAAACTAAAGGCTAGTTTATATTTAAGAACCACCACTTTTTTGCATTATACCTTGCCTCTCTTCGCTTGTCTTGTATTACTTTGAAGTTACTAAAAAAGTATTGGGCAAAAAAATCAGTGATTAGCTTTCTATATGAAAACAAAGTGGGCAGTATTTTTTTTTTTATGTAATTAACAGTCCAAAATATCAAAAAGGTTTTTGGCTCGGAACCACCAATCTAAAAAATGGGAAAATCTAATTTTATTGGAGCATTTTCGGCTTTCTTTCACAATAAAATAAAATAGTTCCTTATAGTCTTCATTATCCATGTGTTTTCGCTAGAAACTATTTGTAACGTAACGGTCTTTTAATAATTGAATTTACAGGTAGGTTTTTTTTATTTAGAGAGAGTTAGAGAGAGGGCTCATTTTGCAAGCAACAATTTATTTCGCCTATTTGTCAGTACTATTTTTATTCTTCAAAATGCACTCTCGAATGGTGATGTAAGATTTTTCGTTCAAGAGTTACGGCCACGTTAACTTTCGTGTCCTCAAATATAACATTGCCAAACCAAGCATATGCTTTCTAACTCATTACGTCATCTTCCAATGCCCATAGTTTCTGAAGGAAAAATCGTAAATCGCCACTCGAAGGCGCATTTTGAAGAGTAAGAATAGTACTATATGGCTTAGAGAAAACAAAGGTGGCCATTAAAACCGTTTTTAGGTGTACTTAACCGCGGAAAACATCAACATCTTGGCGCACTTCTAAGCTCTAGCTTGAGGCACGCAGAAATTTACTTCGGAAACGACCATCAGCTGCACAACATCAGAAACTTTCAAATCAGTATTCATAATTATCATGTTCCTAATTCCTTTGAATTACATGTCAAATCGCCAGTATACTAAATTCATGCTACTTATTGCATAATATAGACTACATATAAGCCATCTAAAAACGTAATTATAATCTTATCGCTACACGTATATCGCATAGGTAACGTAACAGTCTTTTTGTGCAACGTAACAGTCCGACTATTTTTTGCAAATAATAATAATAGATTGGGACCTCCAGTTTTATGCCGACTCCGAACGGCGATTGTATTTTAATGAGAAGCTATTTTTCATGGCAGAAATACACTCGGAGGTTTGCCATTGCCTGCCGAGGGACGACCGCTGTTAAGAAAAAACCTTTTTCTATATTTTTTGGGATGTTGCTTTGACCAGGGCTTGAACCCAGGTGCTGATGAGTGAAAGCGCGCACTGCTTACCACTACACCACAGCGGCCGATTTTTTGCAAATATTGACCTCAAAATTAATTATATCAGTCAATTAATAAGTAGTTCTTGAGTTCCATCCATAAGCTAAGAAACTGTGTACCAACTTTTGAAAACATTGTGTTAGGAGAGCAGACTTGTTCGGATAATATAAAGCAGCTTCAAAAAGTACTTCCAAAAAGTAAGAAAGCCTAAGTTCAGCCGGAGCCGAACATTAAACACCCGGCGCAAGTACTAAATATATGATTTTCACCTTTCCGAAAGTTCCGATGTTATCAATTTTGAGTAAATTAGCGTCCTTAAATTTCGAAATATTGAATTTTCAAGCATTTCCGAAATTTACCGTTATATGAAAAGCAGCCTCAATTTTAGTCCGATTTCAATAATCAATAAAATTTCAACGTTTTGCTTTTATGTGGCAAGCACAATAAGCATACCGAGTTTGCTACAAATTGGTACGACGGTTACCGAGATACATATATGTGATGATAAGTGGGCGGTGCCACGCCCATTTTCCAAAGTTTTATCATAAGCGTATTTCCTTGTAAAGAATTGTTGCAAGCATCAATTTTGAATAAATTAGCTCTAATATTTACTAATTTATACCGTTACGGTTACCGTTATAGGGGATGTGGGCGTGGTTATTGTCCGATTTAAAAAATTTTGACTATTTGATATGCTGTAGCAAGGCTAACAACTGTGCCAAGTTTGAAAGAAATTGGTGCATCGGTTTCCAAGATATACACATGTAACCATAATTGGGCGTGGCTACGCCCATTTTCCAAAAATTTATAACATTCTAATTTTTCGTCTAAAAGTTCTTGTTGATATCAATTTTGAGTGAATAATCTTCAGTAGTTACTAAAATCGTCGTTTTCGTATTTCTGAAAATTACCGTTATATGGGAAGTGGGCGTGGTTATTGTCCGATTTCGCCCATTTTCAATACCATCCGTCCTACGCCCGAAAGAAGTGTACGTACAAAGTTTCGTTAATATATCTCAATTTTTACCCGAGTTATCGTGCGGACAGACAGTCACCGCTTAATCGATTTCTCTTTTCATTCTGACCATTTATGTATACATTTGCCTATATCTATCTCGATTCATTTTGCCTGTTACAAACAATCGTTATGTGAACAAAATTATAATACCCTTGTGCACAAGTGCGCTCGGGTATAAAAATGGAAATGTAACAGTTCGCTGTTGAAACGTTTATAACTCCTAAACAACAGGAGTTACAATATATTTTAAGCATATATTAAATAATGCCACATACTTATGCTTTCAGATGCAGGAAAAAAAATTATCCGAAAATTGTATTCTAGCGAGTTTCAGCGGTTTTTGAAAAGCAGTTTGAGCCAAAATATAATCTAACAGCCGCGTTTTGGGCCATATGGTTATTTTACATTAGACATTTTTAATTAATTTTTAAAGTAATCATATTTTGGAAATTTCAAAGTCCTTACAAGAGAAATCCTGACGTCTATAAAAAAATACACAAACTTGTACTTGGGGTTTTTTTTTCTACGAAGAATTTATGTATTTTTGATATTTTGATATGAGGTGCCGAATTTAAAGGCTTGTGGCCTTATTCATAAAATATAAAGCAGGTTTAAAGCGCTTTATAAAATTACGTTTTCAAACATTTTTCAGTTTATAAACCTTTTTTAAAGCTACTTTATTTTTTATGAATAAGGTCATTAAACTGTTGATGTGTAATAAGTTTGTTACACGCAAAGTCACGATTTACCAATACAATTTATTATTCATCCGCTT